AAAAATACGCATAGTAAACNTAAATACGCATATGCACACATAAATACGCATATGCACAACAAATACGCATATGCACACAGAAATACGCACATGCACACAGAAATACGCATATGCACAAATAAATACGCATATGCACACAGAAATACGCATATGCACAAATAAATACGCATATGCTAACAGAAATACGCATATGCACATATAAATACGCATATGCACAAATAAATACGCATATGTACACAGAAATATGTACACAGAAATACGCACACATGAACATAAAATACGCATATGCACACATCAATACGCAAACATAAACATAAATACGCATATGCACACATAAATACGCATACATAAACATAAATACGCATATGCACACATAAATACGCATACATAAACATAAATACGCATATGCACACATAAATACACATACATAAAACATAAATACACATATGCACACATAAATACGCATACATAAAACATACATACGCATATGCACATATAAATACGCATACATAAAACATATATAGGCATATGTACACATAAATACGCATACATAAACATAAATACGCATATGCACACATAAATACGCATACATAAAACATAAATACACATTTGCACACATAAATACGCATACATAAAACATACATACGCATATGCACACATAAGTACGCATACATAAAAACATAAATAGGCATATGTACACATAAACACGCATATGCACACAGAAATACGCATATGCACACAAGTTGAACGCACAAAACACGCGTGGATGTGCGTACACAAGATATCTGTTCGGTCATAAGTACGCGCACATCAACCAGACATACACATACAGCACCCACACACAGCGCAAACACACTCACTCAGACCAGCACACACGCTCACAGACACCACACAAACACACACAAAGCACATACGTCGGATTGTCCATGGCCGTCACCAGCTTCTGTATCTGCGTCAGACTCATAGCCTCTCCTTGTGCAAACACCTTGTCCACCCCCTGAGCCGGCTGTGGCAGAGCCACTCGGTGGAAGACGGAGCTCTTGTGCACGCCGCTGTGGCTATCGCACACACACACCCACTGTCTCAGCCCAATGTCGTGCATCCAGGCCTTGTTGTTGTGTGTGACAAACAACGGCTGCCCAGTACGGGTGATGGCAGCCCAACGGAAGGCGGTAGCGTTGCTGTGGGGGGTNCAGGTGTGTGTGGAGTGGGTAGGTGTGTGAGTGACTAGTGTGTACAGTGCAATGCAGCGAATGCCCCCCATCACACTCAGTGATCGTGGCAGCACTCCACGACTGAGCCGACAACCCCATTGGGGTGTCGTTTAAACGTATATATATATATATATATATATATGTCTTTGCACTCTTTACAATGGTAGTCTTCCTCGTCCACTATGCATACAATACACCCTTCCTATGCACACACGTACATCTAACAATACAGTAATGGACATACCCTTTCTCCCCACTCAATAGCCTAGCCACTGACAGTGCGTGTACCACTGCTTGTGCACTGTGGACATGCCACACAAAGCACAGCCCAGTGACGGTAACGGCCAGCAGATGTGTGTTGGTGCTTGTGAGATAGTGCAGGGGAGCCTCTAGAGACATGCACGGCAGTAACCTGTGCGAGCGAATAGGATGAGAGTATTAGTAACCATGGTAACGCCAGACAGTGGGAGTGAGTAGCAATATGTACAACCACAGAGAGACGCGCTAGTGATCGCATCTCTCACATCGTTAACGTATCAGCAAAGCAAACATTAGAACGCAGCCACACATTACCTCAGCTATAACCACAGGTCAACGGTCTCGTCCACTTGTGCGCATACAATACATCTCCTGACCCCACACACCGCTAGATAGGACATGCAGACCCTTATAAAAGTCACGCCTACTGATAGTGGGGCACTCTCCAGCACAGGATTATATATATATATATATATATATATATAACATACATACATACATACATACATACATACATACATACATATA